CAAGTCACGTCTCAGGCAGGTCATGTGCTGGTCAAGAATTCCAACTTGCCGATAAGTAAGCTTCATGGCCAACTCTCTAATTAGTGAGTTTCATGGCTGAGACATCTCCAACTCACTGGATAAGTAAGTTTATGGTTGAAACATCTGGCTTAATGATAAGTAAGCCCCCCCGCTCTCCCTATAGCATTTTGTAATAGTTTAAACTAACCAATAACCACGCTTCTGCTTCTGTAAGCTGCTTCTGCTCTATAAAGACCCCAAACCCCAGACCTGGGGCGCGCTTCTCCCTTTGTCAGGAGCTGTGCCCACAGGTACCTGTGTAAAATAAAAGCCTCTTGCTTTTGCAACTCGAGGGCTCGACTTGTCCTTTGTGGTTTCAATTTTACAGTATAAGCCCTGTAAAACATAATATTGAATGAGTTTTCAACTTTTAAAAAAGATCTCCACTTCATTTTACAGAAAGAAGAATACTGAGATGTCACATGCGTCTCTAATCTGTGTGTATCTCATTATTACTAGTCATAATACATTGCACTTGGATCCTTGGCACCTGTGTATGTCTATAAAGTCATCAGGTAGATTTCAATGGTAATGTTTATCACCTCTACTAATTAACATGACAATTTTTTTTTAGTTTCAACAAAGATTTTTATTAATGAATTTTTAAAATTTATTTCTTAGTACTTGTTATTTACATATTCTTTTTGGTGAGGAACTATATTTTATTTTTGTATTTTTCAAAATTATTTAATAACCACATAATTAGAAGAAGCATTTCATTGCAACTGCATTGACATATTCAATAACAATTTCCAGAGCTAAGATACATCTCTTTCAAATACAGTTATACAATATTGTACTCAGTATAAACCCTGTAAGACATAAAGGTTTTAACCTTTAAAAAAGATCACCATTTCTTTATTAAAATGCACAGTTTCATGCAGAAAAAATCATTTTAATGCAATTAACACTAATATGTTTGCACATGCGTTTCTGATCTCTATATATCTGATTATTACTAGTCACAGTCAGTTACTTTCTGAGCTCCATGATCTGAGCATGGATATAAAGTCATTGGGTAGATGTCAATGGTAATGTTTTTCACATCTACTAATTATTAAGGAGCAAATTTTTATGCTTCTTCCTCAAATATAACTCATTTTTTGATTTAGTACTTTTTGTGTGTATTTCATACAGAACATCCCAAACAATCTTATTTATCTATATACCCACATCTCAAG